GGCCTGACCACCTGAGCTCGGGGCATTTCGCAACCCAGAGTTCCGAGGATGTCTCAGGCAAGCGTGGCCGGATCACCATGGGGCAGGGCATCTTGGAAACCAGAGTGGCGAGGATGTCGCTGGTCAAGGTGACCAGACGACCATGGGGCAGGACACCTCCGAGGTCTGAGTTGTGAGGATGTCTCAAGCGAAAGTGGCCTGACCACCATGGGGCAGGAGATCTCTGAGGTCAGAGTTGCGAGGATGTCTCTGGGGAGAGTGGTCTGACCACCTCAGCCCAGGGCATCTCGGAGCCCAGAGTTGCGAGGATGTCTCAGGCAGGACTGGCCTGACCACCTGCTCAGGGCATCTCAGAACCCAGAGTTGCGAGGGTCTCAGGCGAAAAAGGCCGAGACACTATGGAGCAGGGCATCATTGAGGTCAGAGTTGCGAGGATGTCTCAGGCAAAAGTGGCCTGAACAGCTCAACTCAGGGCATCTCGGGCGAGGATGTCTAAAGCGAAAGTGGTCTAACCACCTCAACTCAGGGCGTCTCGGAACCCAGAGTTCCGAGGATGTCTCAGGCGAAAGGGGCCGAGACACTATCGAGCAGGGCATCATTGAGATCAGGGTTGCGAGGATGTCTCAGGCGACAGTGGCTGACCACCTCAGCTCGGGGCATATCGGAATCGAGACTTGCGAGGATGTCTCAGGCGACCGTGGCCTGACCAGCATGGGGCAGGAGATCTCTGAGGTCAGAGTTGCGAGGATGTCTCATGCGAAAGTGGTCTAACCACCTCAGCTCAGGGCGTCTCGAAACCCAGAGTCCCGAGGATGTCTCAAGCGAAAGTGGCCGGGCCACCATGGGGCAGGGCATCTCCGAGACCAGAGTTGCGAGGATGTCTCAGGCGAAGGTGGCCAGATCACTTCATGTCAAAGCACGTCGGCCTCCAAATTGCCGACGACGTCTCACGCGGAACTGGCCGGACGCGAACGCGCCGGCGTCCGGAGACGAACGCCGGCCCCGGCATTCTTGCACGTCCCGCACATGCACTGCACAGGTACGCACAGTATTCGCACAGGCCGAGCTCGCCGGTGGCCGAGCCAGGCCAGCGATTCCGAGATTCCCTGAGCTCGGGCCGTCAAGCCACTTTCGCCTGAGACAGCCTCGCAACTCTCACCTCCTCCTCCTCCTCCTCCTCCTCCTCCTCCTCCTCCTCCTCCTCCTTCTCCTCTGGCCGAGCCGAACAGGCAGGCTGGCCAGTGGCCGGGGGCGCCCGCCTCCTCCGCCCCCCCCTCCTCCCCCCCCCCTCCACCTCCCCCCCCCCATCCCTGCTTCTCCGGCCGAGCTGAGAAGGCGCGCGGGAGAGTATTTTATTAGGCGGGCGCGCCACCGCCAGCTCACGAACCGGGCGAATAACCGCCCCCGCCAGCAGCGGGCGAGTCTAAACGCACAACAAACTCTTTCAGGAAACCCTGGCACGCCCCAGGTTAGCTCTGCGAAGGCCAGGAGGCATTGGAGGCACAGGGGTCCCAGACAGCTCCTAGGGCATGAGCGTGCATGTGCATTGGGATGTGCACGCATGTGCGCCCGCGCGCTTCACCGCATGTGCGTGCATGTGCGGGCCCGCGCGGCCTCCCGAAGAGAGGTTGCACAGGCATGTACGTGCATGTGCCGATGACAGATATGCGATTCTCGAACACCTCCCGCATGTGCAAGCATGTGCGCGCATGTGCGTCGGAATGTGCGTGCATGTGCGTATGATGGATACATCAAAACACAGCGCACATGCCCCCGCACATGCCCGGGCACGACGTGCACAGTAGGAAGTCCATCCAAGAAGGACCGCACAGGCCTGGCACATGACTGGCAAATGCCGCGCACATGCGCGCACATGACAGCGCAAAAACGGCCGCACATACACCCACCCAGGGGTATAGATGTGAGTGCGGTGTAGCAGCCGTCGTCGTAGTACTAGGGGGAGGGCGCAGGAGGACGAGGAGGAGCAGGAGGAGGAGTAGGAGAAGGGGGAGGAGGAGGAAGAGGAGAGGAGGAAGAGGAGGAGGAGGAGGAGGAGGAGCAGGAGGAGGAGCAGGAGGAAGAGAAGGGACGAGTTTTATTCCCCGCCGAGAGAAACAGGGGGGAGGGAGGAGCAAAACTATAGACTTACTGCGGTTACTGAACCTGGGAGCTCTCCCCAGGACCAGCTCTTCATCCCGCGGAGCCGTTTTTTTTTGTGCGGAACCGAAGCCCCTGTGCGGGCCCTGGGGAGCCAGACGCTTGTGAACAAAATCAGGCCCGCCGGACCCGCGCCGTGTGGTTCGCAGAGGGTGCGGTTTGCAACCCGCGCCTGGGGGGGTGGCGGGCGAGGAAGACCTCGACCAAACCCTGCGGCGCCCCGACCAAGGCCCATCAAACCTTTAGCGCAACGCGGTTGCTCCTCAGACCCAACGGCGCCGATCGCAAATCACTCCCCGGCGTAACCACACCCGTTGCAGTCGCCGGTTCATGGCGACCGCGACCACCTGCTGGAGGCGCTCATGGTGCGCGTCGGCTGCGCGTAAACCTGGCCGTCGATGCCCACGCCGTAGACCTCGGGTGCTCGCTAACGGGAGGGGCGATGAACGTGAAGTGAAGACATGCGCACATGTCTTCCACCCTCTGGGCCCGCGGGGACACTTTGGGGGCTGCTTAAGGCAACTGTAGGGCAACTTGCTCGATCCACCCCCACAACCTTTGGCCCCTCATGAAATAAACAAGGAGAAACGTCTTGCTAGCCAGCGATGGCCCCGAACAGTGTTTCTAGCACGGTATGTTGTGCAGTCTAGGTGGAGCGGTATATGTGGTGCAACCCACGTGGTGCGATATACGTAGCACCACGCCGATGCGGATAAGAGTGAGGGGGCGGTGGGGACGTCGGCAGCCTGCGAGAATCTGGAAATGCCCGCCGCAGGCGCCAACGTTACACAAAGTATACAACGACCCCGCCGCAGGCGCAGATTTTTTCGTTAAACCAATGTGGGTTGGTCACGGGTGAGTCGCGGGTGGGGTCGCGGTTGGGTCGCGGGTGGGTCGTTGTTGGGTCGCGGGGGGGTCGCGGGTTGGTCGCGGGTGGGTCGTTGTTGGGTCGCGGGTGGGTCGCGGGTGGGTCGCGGGTGGATCGCAGGGTGGGTCGCGGGGTGGGTCGCGGGGTGGGTCGCGGGTGGGTCGGTCGCGGGGTGGGTTGCGGGTGGGTCGCGGGATGGGTCGCGGGTGGGTCGCGGGGTGGGTCGCGGGTGGGTCGCGGGGCGGGTCGCGGGGCGGGTCGCGGGTGGGTCGCGGGGTGGGTCGCGGGCGGGCCGCGGGTGGGACGACGACAACAAACAAACAAACAAACAAACAAACAAGCAAACAAGCAAGCAAACAAACAAACAAACAAACAAACAAACAACAGCAGCAGCAACAACAACAACAACAACAAAACCAACAACAACAACAATCACTTTACCCGAACGCTCAGTGTTCTCACCAGTGCCAGGGTTTTCATGCGACGCAAGCCAATACCCCCACTTTGTGGGGGGGCAGTGCAAGCTCTACCAAATATCCACACGACTCTTCGCCACCACCCACACCCAGCTTCCCGCCCTATGACGTTCGGACACTTCACTTCGTGGCCTGCGGACGACCGTGGCTACTACACTGGCGCGGAGTACACACCCACAGAAGTTGTTAAGCCTACGTTCGTACACCCCAGGCACAACCCGATACTTGCCCCACCAAGTCTTGCACGCCTGGTGACTGACCTGGATACCCTTTGCAACGAGCGCCTGATGCAAATAATACGGGCTCTCGCAGTCGGCCAAGGGAGGCCGCGACAGCTCCGGGCCATACTGCTCGTCAAGGGCTTTCGCCGTCAAAGCCATGGACCATCCAAGAACACAGGCGATACCTTGATCCGAGATGGCTACGGATGTGCCAGTGATCAGTCGGAGGCTTCCTGGGGCCGCTTGGGGTCCTCTTGGGGAAGGGGGGAAGCCTCCTGGCGCCGCTTGGGGTCCTCTTGAGGGGCTTTGGGGGGCTTCTTGGAAGCATCTTGGGGCCTCTTGGGGGCTTATTGGGTCCTCACGGCGGGCTCTTGGGGCCTCTTGAAGGCCTCCTGGGGCAACCTATGGCGCAACCAGTAGGGGGACGTTTTATTCTCGGCGGCCGAGGGCGCAACCTATGGCGCAACCAATAGGGGGACGTTTTATTCTCGGCGGCCGAGGGCGCAACCTATGGCGCAACCGCAAGGGATTGTGGCCCCTGGCAGGCGCGCGAACCCCGTTGCAAGAGCGTGCGAAAGTAGCTCGCGCGAGCTCATGTAACATAAATGTTGGAAAACCATTGGTTTTTTTAGGATTCGGACAGCGCGCGCGGGTAGAAATTTTGAAAAGTCGTGCAGGTGTTTTTCGAGGACCTACGGTGCGATTCGTGTGATTTTATGATGCGCGGTGCTAAAATTCTTAAGAAGCCCAATGGTTTTTGGAGATTTCGGCGTGCGCGCGCGAAGAAAAAACGAATGTGTCCCGCATGGTATTATTTGACAGGGATGATGGCCCTGGCAGGTGCGCAACCGTTGTCGCAGAAGTTCGAAAAAGTTGCTCGCAAAAGCCCGTTTGACAGAAATGTTTAAAAAGTGTTGGGTTTCCTACGAATCCGCAAGAGCGCGCGGGATGAGATTTTGACAATTTTTTGTTGAAAAACCATTGGTTTTTTGATGTTTTTATGTTAAAATCGCTGCGAACACTAAGGTTTTGGAAGGATTTCGTCTTGCGCGCGCGAATGTCCACTTTACCTTATTTTTTGCAAGGGATTCTTGAAATTTGATTATATTAGAACAAGAAATGTTATTTTCTATTGTTTTTTGCAAGGGAAAGCGGATTACAACAAAACAACCGGATCCTGTACACACCCTCTTTTCTGAGGCTTCCTCACGAAAATGATGAAAATGTAGCTGCGGCCTAGGCGGCGCAGGGGGGGCGCGCACCAGGGGGCCCAACAATAATTATTCTTTAGAATAAATCATGTTCAACACAACAAAAATAATCCCCACCACGGATCCCCACTTCAGTCACGCCGCCAAAGACAATGACCGTTCTGCCCCCTCATTCTGAGTGGGTCGCGGGTGGGTCGCGGGGCGTGTCGCGGGTGGGTCGCGGGGTGGGTCGCGGGCAATGAAATGAAATGAGGAGTGGGCGAAACGACAATGCCGAGACGCCCAGATATAAAAAGCAAACAAATTAGGATGATGGGAGCAAGCCCTCCAATTCATCCTGCTGCTGCTGCTGCTCCTCCTCCTCCTCCTGCCCCGCCTCGCGGAACTCCGCGGCCTGGGGCCTGTGGTGGAGGAGGGCCTGGGCGTCCAGCCCGTATTTGGCCAGCAGTTGGCCCCTGGTGAGAAGCGCCGCCCGCGATGACCTCTGGGGAAAACGCACCTGGAGGCCGCGACGGCTGGGGCACGGGGCCGACCCAGCATCGCGCGAGCGAGGTCTAAGAGGTCCAAGGGGGCGGGGGCCTCCAGTTCCCCCGGGCTCCCTCCCTCGTACCTGGTGGGCCACCTGGGGAAAAGGGGGGCGATGGGACGGGACCTCTGCTGCCTGAGCCCCTTGTCTGCCGAATGCCCGCGGCAACGGCTGGCGAGCCCTCTCACACCTCCCCACGCGTAAGCACCGCGCGACACACAGCAGATCATCCTGGGGGCCGCCAGGACAGAGGCCCCATCTGCATCGACAACTTTGCAAACACGGAGGTTGCGCTGAGACAGCTGGACCAGAATGGCAAGCTCGGGGTCCGAGGGCCCGTCCGCCACGGCCGAGAGCACGGCTCGGAACGGAACGGAGGCGGGCGGGGAAGGCATAGGGGGACGGGAGGCCGCGCGACGAGGACCCTGGGGGCCTTTCTCGGGCAGGCCGTCCGCGTCTTTCCACCCCCTCTCAGCCATCAGAACCCCCTGGCGCCCAATCCAGTGTCCGATCTCATGGGCCAGATAGCGCAGCCCAGCGACATCGCGGGCGGCCTCGACCACCGACGGGTGAACAGCCGCTCCCCGCTTGGCCAGGGCATCCGCGATGCCATTAGCCTTCCTCTCCCACCGCGTGGTCACCCCCCGAGCCGCATCAGCTTCGCTAGTGTGGGCCTTCGTTTTGTGCACCACCAGGCCTGCCTCGAAGGCCGCATGAAAACGGGGCCACATATGAGCCTGCATGCATGTGGCCGACGTCGAGGACACTCGCGACCGAGCCGCAGAGATCGCGCTGGCTTAATCGGTCACGACCCCTTCGATATCACGGGTGTCAGCCAGACTGCGCAGCATGAAATAGGCGTAGTCCTCTCCATCACTGGCGAACTGGAGAGGCGCATAATCAACGGGAGCTGGGCCGAAGGCGCACGCCAATATCGATCCAACATCGTCCGCCATGACAATGGACCAGCCGTCCCGACGGAGGAGGGGATCTGCTGGGGAAGAGGGCCGAGCCATCGGAAAAAAACTCCCCCCTCAGCATGCCGTCGGGCGGCCTGCGGGCCCAGGAGACACTGCGCTGCTCAAGACGGGGGCGGGGGTGGAACAAGCTCGCGAGGGCTGGCAAACAATCCCGAAGCAAAGAATTCACCAGAGTGGCCGAGCGCACGCACGCGCCTGGCAGCAGCCAGGGCCTCATCTGATAGCAAGGGACATCTGTCAGCGTTCCACGCGTCACTCACGAACCTACGATGAAACACCGTGCCGGGGGCCCCTCGGCACAGGGTGCAGAGATTCGAATGCACAAAGCCGTGCCGGAACAACCTCTCTTGAGGCCACGAGGTCCCAGACGCAGACGCACGGAACGAATTTTGCTGAGGCCGACCCCAAGTGGAAGTCTTACGCGAAAACAACACTTCCACTGGCTGCCTGAAGACGGGCCTGCACCAGGACGAGGAACCGGCACGAGCCTCCAGGGCGCGGAAATCCGACATCTCCTCGGCGGCGCGGTCTGCGAAAGCCGCGACGGCAGCGGGAGCTAGGCGCAACAGGTCGATTTGCTCACCTGTCGCCAAAGTGATGAGGCGTGCCGAATGTGCAACCCAGCCGAAGCCCCCACGCGCAATGACGAACACGTGAGCTGGCGACGTCGCACAACTCCACGGTCGACTTGCGGTGGCGAACGCTCGCACTGCGTCATCAAAAATGGTCTGGAGAACCGAAATCTTAGGATATCCATCCCGGACCGCCCGAGACCACTCAAACATAACCTGTTTAAAGTAAAGCGGCACTGGGTCCATGCGCTTGCCCTGCTTAAAAGAGCGCAACTTCAAGCCAGTGGAGGCACCTGCCTTGCTGGGGGCCAGGGAGAGCAGCGCCTGAGTGCGGATCCTCTTCAACTGCGACCACGGAAGACCCCTAACAGCACAACCCCACAGCGCAGAAGCCTGAGGACCCGCTCTCTGCACATGCCCAACAAACGCCCCTGCCTGCCTCAAAGACCTAAGCCGAGAGGACCTCTTGAGGCATGTCTTGACCCTCTTGGAGACCATGGGGGCCAGACGAGAGCTACAGACCTGCCAATCAGTCCCAAGACTTCGGATCGCGGATCTGCG